GCTGTCAGGCTATGAGTTTGCTGTTAGGGTATCTCACAGTTAGATATTATTGTTTGATATATGTAAATGACACTAAAAAAAGTCTCTCCTCTAATATGCAAGTTTGCTTAACTGCACTAAGGAATTTGCAAAATAATACGCCATGTACTAGGTATTTTGTGGCAGAGAAGGTTTTTGATGAAGTCATCTTCGGGTGGGCAAGACAAAAAGGTGGCAGTCAGTTGAAAGAGCTTCTTGCATTAAGACTTCAAAAAGCTATTACTTCAGTATGTATTGTCATTGAATTAATTCATTCGCTGCCCTTCTAATTACCATTAGTTCTATAATTTATCTGTCTTGCAGAATATTTCTATTTTGTGCAGTTCCAAAATTTTTTCTTGTGGTTGTTGCAGGTTGGTCTAACTGGAATTGCTTTGGATCAAGATCCACAATCACTAAGTGGTGGTTACAAACGTCGTCTTGCTTTAGCAATTCAGTTAGTGAGAATCTGTATCTTCTGATGTTTTTTTCCTACTTTGACATTCATAATATGTCTGCACCAGCAAAATGGTACACATATTTACATGTCATTATTGCACTCTGGTGCTAATTTGACTGAAAAATTTTGTTTACTTCACTCAGGTACAAGCTCCAGATTTGTTGTTATTGGATGAGCCTCTTGCTGGTCTTGGTATGCGGATGCCCTATGCTAAATTGCTTGTAACTTGTTATGCTTCATGTTGCAAATTTCCTTTCTACCTTTCATGTTCTAAGTAAATATGATGAAAAACATGTCAGTAAAACAGTTATGTTAGATTTATTCTTACAAATGTGTAGCATGGGACACACTCAGAAAGTCCTACAGGATAGTTTAATTGTAACAGTAGCATATATTACAGTTATTTGTAGAGAAAGAAAAGGGATGTGCGTATGTGCAATTCACTTTGTTAGTCGATGGTATAGATTCATTCTTCTGTTGATCCTTTTGCCAATACAAATAAATGCTTGGATGGAGAGGAAGTAAGGTAACAATTGCATACAGATAGAATGAGATTTAAACATAAAAGGCAGATATAGTTCCTTTTTAAGATACCACTTTCTTTCCAGGAAATGATCGAGGATAGTGGGAGGTGGTAGGTATTCATGAGGATATACACCATTTCCAAGTTATTGGTTGACTGTTTAATTTTGTTTTCGGGATTATAATTTATTTCAAAGAATTGTGTTGTTATGTCTTGCTACTTCTTTGAGTCTTGAAAAATGAAGTGAGGGCATATCTGATTAGGTTATATTGTTGAATTATCTTGATCATTCCTCTTATTCTCCAAGTAACCACTCCTAGATCGCTGAATGTTTTCTGTGTTATGAAATTCAGATTGGAGAGCTCGTGCAGATGTCGTGAAACTTCTAAAGAATCTAAAGAAGGAATTAACTATACTTGTCGTCAGCCATGACCTTAAGTAAGGTCTTTTTTTCTTTTTAATTTTTCCAATAATTTCTTGTCTTGGAATATATATATATTTTTAAATAGAGATTTTGCTTTCTTTGATTAATTTTTCTTGATTAGCTGTTAACAACTTTGCTGCATTATGTATTTGCTTCACTTATGGACGGAGGACTTCAGTTCCCTATTGTGCACGTGGCTATCACCTGTATTTCTATGGAAAAAATGAAAATTTTAAACTGTTGTTATCTTAGTCAGAAAGTAGGTCTACAGAGGAGAAGTGTACTCGTGTTTGAATTGCATTGAGTTAGTACTTTTGTTCCATGTAGCTGTGTTCAAATTCCATTGAGTTTGTACACTTGTTCCATGTTGATGTTGTAAAGTAATTTAGTTTCCATGGGACATTACCAAGGTCATATGTTCTGCTCATGGGTGAGTTGAAATGTACTCAGCATCAACCAAGTGAATTTACTGAGAGTATAGATTTATATTGGTAGGAGTTTTGGGTGGAATTTTGCCAGGCATAATTCTTTGTCTTGCTTTCCTTTTTCTGAAGTATAGTGTCCAATTTCCTATGATTGAAAATTGTCAATCATACAAAGTTTCTCCTCAATGACTCTTCATGTAGTATGAAAGGTAGTGTCTCCATATGTTCTTTCATTTTTCAGCATATCTTGTCGACCTATATCATCCTTTTCACTTCCTTTTTAAACTATTATATAGGTAGAACTGTCTCTTATACTGATACCAGTTATGGGATATAAAATTTTGGATCAAGGGTGTATTAGGTTTTTGATGGGGCTGAGCTACCATGTTTTTATTCAGAAATGTGAATTTATTTGTAGAGAGTTGTCATGCCTAGTGGATCAATCATGGAGGATGGAGATGGGTGGAATACTTAAAGGCGAGCCACTTCCAGTTTAACAGATGCAATAAATCTTTGCCTACTTGAGCTATGCAAGATGTAAATACATGAGGTATGGCAACAGAGTATTGTAAACTAATTGAGTTGTTTATGTTGCTGAAGTTCAATGATCATGTTTATTCAAAAAGATTTAAACACAATTAACTAAAGTACATTCACTTCCTGCACCCCCCCCCCCCCCCCAAAAAAAAAAAAAACAGATGGCAAAATCCTTTGTGAAATGCCATGTCACTCGTACAAAGATAAGCTCATATTTCTCTGGTGCACAATTGTGGTAGTATAATGCAACCCCATTGGATACCTGCAAAACTTTGGAGTTTGCAGTTCTGCAATTCATCATATAAAGAGCCACCATTTTGACAAATGCTTTTGAAATTTAGTACAATAGCAGTACATTCCATTAACTTTTGCTTTGGTATCACATGCAGAGAGATACGAAGAACCCCTCTTTATTCTTGCTCTTCATCGAGTTCAAGCACTACCACTCATTGCTAATGACATACTAATCACCAGCTCACAGTGACGAATCACGATACTTGATAGATGAACAGTGAATACAAGAGTTGGATTGATGTTTCATACTAGGGTGAATATGTTTGTTCTTTGTTAAATGTAGTCAGCATCAGTTTTGATCCAGTGCTTCCAAATTAACCGTTATAGTACCAGTGTCAATCCCTTTAGAAGATGGCACAGATTTGGAGGTCTCCTCCTTCAAAGTGATCTTCTTAGGAGACCTTTATTTTCCTGTGTCATCCCCATAATGCATGCCCGGCTTGCCAGAGAGTTTCTTGATTTTGTTTTGTCCAGTGCTTTACATATATATGATTAGCATTCTTCAGAACAATCTAATTATGTCTTCCATTTTATCTGGATGAATAGTTGAAATTGGACATCTAATTATGTCGACTGAAAACTGTTTTGTCAATTTGCACTAAACATGATAAAACATCTGGGCAGTGCCAAAGTGAACAAAAGTGATTTTATTCAACAGAAGTAAAATGCTTATCACCAATTTCTTTGGATTTCTAAGATTCACAGCAGATGAGAAAGATCGTTATGCCTTTATACTTAGTGAATTTTAAACTTTTGAAGTGTAGATGGGACTCATGTGACTGCAAGCTGAAGTATATCCTCCATCAATCACAAGATTGTGGGCTGTTATGAATCCAGATTCATCGCTAGCTAAGAACAATGCTGCTTTTGCGACATCTTCCATACTTCCGCCTCTGCCTCTCAGGAGACTGCCCCTCTCACCCACAATCTTTGTTACGTCCTCAGCCTGTAGATCATCCCTCCCAAGGCATGTTCTGTAGGCACTCAAGAGCATCTCTGAGGCTACACCATGAGGTGAAATGCAATTCACACGAATCCCATATACTCCCAACTCACAAGCAGTAGTCTTGGCCAGTCCAAGAATTGCATTTTTTGATGCTGTGTAGGCATGTGAGGCAAGGCCTCCCATGATGGCTGCCGAGCTTGATGAACAGATAATGCTGCCTCCATTTTTACCTGCGATCATTGCTCTCGAAGCATGCTTAATGCCGTGTATAATGCCAAACAGATTGATGGAGAGGAGGGCTCTCACATCCTCCATGTTAAGACTGGAGATGCTCCCTCCAGGGCCACTGACGCCGGCATTGTTAAACATGATGTCTAGTTTGCCTTTCCATGCCAACGCAAATTCTACTGCTGATTCAACATCTTCTTCTTTAGATACATCACAATGTATGTAGCGCCCTCCAATTGAATCAGCTAATTTTGATCCTAATTCGTCTAGTATATCAGCAATAACAACGTAGGCTCCATTCTTGGCAAATAGCTTTGCTGTTGCACCTCCAATTCCTCTTGCACTACCTGTTATGAGTGCAACTTTGCCCTCAAGCCTGGACCAGAAAAAGGAGAAAGAAAAGTGAAAAACATAACTAGGAAGATCAATTACTAGGAAATATTAGCACAAGGTTTATGTATTGACTAACCTCTTTGATGGACTCTGTCGATCTTCTGCGCAAGGATCCATTTCATTATGAAGAATGTCAAGAGAGCAAAGGCACTAGCTGCATATATAGGGGCCTATGTTTGTTTTCTCTCTTCACACGTGTATATTTTAAGAAGCAGCTCTCTTTAGGCTTTTATGTTTGTTTTCTCTCTTCACAACTTTTCTCATGTAAAACTACTTTGTAACTAAAAAGAATCTGTCTCCTAAAGTGGAGTTGAAAACTCTTGACAGGAGATAATCCCAATTTACAAGGGAGAGGCAAAGAATGCCCGTCATCTTCTAAGTTTTTTTATGGCTAATGAGTTGAAGAGAATTCTCTAATTTGCTTTGCCTCGAAGGGCAACTTTCAGCCCAATAATTCTGTTAAAAGAGAAACGAAACTCAACCTAAAACAAGAAATCTCCCTAATAATTGAAAACAACAATTGCTAAAATTTTAAATGTATTATGGACATCATGTCCTTGGAGAATCAGATTTCAGAAAGAGCTCTTCCATTTTCATTGACGACATGGATTGTGATCTTCCATAATTAGATGGGGAGGAAAATCAATTTTAAAAATCTAACCAGGATGGTTTTCACGATAAATAAAACTACAGATATGGTAATGGTATTAGCTTTGTGAACTTTCCATTTTTCAAGGTATAACAGCTTTTGCTTATTCTGATCAACCTGAACATTAAGTAGATTTTTGGAAACAAAATCAATAAAAAAGGTACATGTTTCCTCAAACCATGACCATTGCCAATGCAACAGTGACTACATTGTAACTGAAATCTACACCTGAAAAAAAAAATAAAAATGTATGTATAACTTCAGCTTAAAAGAAGCAGCAGTCCTTCCACCCAACGAGCTAGAATGCTGATGCAGCCCATTCAAATAAAATACTGAAACTGATGTTAGGAAAGACATCTAGACAATGACCTAACAACTCCAGTGTCCAAGGAATTCGAGTAGGACAATGTGCCAGCTCTTCAAACGATCCCCGTTAATATGTCCCCTTTACAAGTTAAATGGACATAGCTATATCATCCAGGATAGTACAACAGAGCTTTTAGTGGATGAGTTTCTGGCTTAACACTTCACAGCAAACTTCCATTTGCATTTGAAGGTGTCAAGTCCATCAAGTGAAATCAATTAAGTCACATAATTCTTGTTGAGGCACTTTATTAGCCAATAGCTCCAACAGCATGAATGGCAAGTATCAGAGGTATTTTAGTAGCTGAAGCATCAACGGCCATGAAGGCAAGCTTTTGAGTGCAGGTAAGCACTTCAATTTACAGGTCTTTGTCTTCAACCTCTTGAAGCTATGGTGGTCAGCACCAAATTAAACTGATGAAGAGGAACCAAGAAGTATTTCTTATTTGAAAAACAATCATTCATCAGCCAGTGATCTACAAGAGAAGAAAAGGCATGTTAGGAACAACTAAAGCATATTGGGCAGGGTAATTTACAGGTAGAAAAACTCAAAAAAGCGGTTTTTCCTTTACAGTAATATGCTTTGATGGGCATTTCTGAGCAACCAAACACAAAAAATGCTTGTGTCAAGACCAAACTTTATATACGTTATGGATCATCAACCACAAGAAATTTAAAATTCATGAACTTATATGGAAAGAAGCTCTAATTCAAAGAAAACATATCTTGAAAGTTGTAGGTAGTTGTCAGCAGCAATATTTATGATGTCCAGCAGAAGAATCAAGTTAGTCCAATCACAATATGTAGCATAAATATGATCCGTACTTTCATTGCAGAGTTGGGAAATTCATATCACAATTGTTTCTCTTAGTGACTATCTGTCACAAATTAAATGAAAATTGGAAGTTTTTCTTAGTTCTTTCGCATCATTAGGAAGTGGTGTATCTGGGAAATTAAGACCTCATTACTCTTCAGAAGTGGGAGTAAAGGTTGAGTTTTTCTCCAATAAGATACTAAATGTGCCCTTTTAGCCAAAGTGGGGTAGACCCTTTTACAAAATGGTAAAGCCCACCAATTTTAGGTTTTCCAAAGGAAACCTTTACACTGCAAATACACCATATAATTGAAGCATAAGAAATCCTCACCTAGAAAGAATTTTCGTAACGAAAACGGACTTTTGCACAAGAAAAAATTTTACGACCTATGCTCTGTTTTTCTGAAAATGAAGGAGCTCCTTTTGATGCAGACACGTTCTATACTTTTGATCTGGAACCATCAAATGATTCTATCAAACCAAGACCTTTATTTTCTTTACCCATACATAGCTGCAAAAGGCAAGTAGTATACAAAGCAAGAGCAGAAGGACCAAGCTTCAGACGGTAGATATAGATATAAAGAAAGAGATCCACAAAACGTTTAAAAGAGTCAACTTGACCTAGAAATCAAGTAACTCAATTTCCAAAGTTCCTGTTGGTAGCAAATTCTACAAAACCCAATCCGTGAGAAAAGCAACCGTAATATGGCATGACTAACTCCTTCGATCATCAGCTTCTCATTATTTTGATACATATTGTTACCTCACGAGTTAGTAATTTGACATGCAAATGTAGGAAAGAGCAAAAATTCAGAAGTAGCTTCCAAGAAAGATGTATAACCTTCTCAATCTGAGAGAAAAGCACAAGTAACACCATCGTTAACGAGCTTGTTAACAGCATCCCTGAACTTATAATAATCCTCAACTGTGTTATACACTTGATGGGAAATCCTTGCATACCCTGTTATAGGACTATCCTCCCCTTTTTCTGGTTCTCTATGGTATATTGGCACTTCAACTTTAAAACAATCCCTTAAATAAGCCCTCAACTTCAAGCCATCAGAGTGACTAAAAATCCCCAAACAAGCAGGCAATCCCACCATAGCCATGCTGGAACACATATGTGGAGGCACACCTAGATGCGTCCCCCACGCCTTAGCCAACATAATTGCCATTTCCACAACCTTCTCGTGATTCCTCTTCTTAATTCCATCAATCCCACCATCAAACCTATTCACAAAGTCCATCACCTCTGGAACTACCAACTGAGCACTATAGTCCCTGGTACCGATCCAAGAACTCTCGATCGCCAATCCATTCCCGTATTCATGTGAAACAACAGGATGATGCAATTGATTCAAAATATCCGATTTTTTACAGTACAAAAACGCCACAGCTGGCGGGCAAAAAAACCACTTATGCAGATTACTAGTGTAGTAATCAGCCCCAATATCTTTCACATCAATATCCACACACCCAATGGAGTGTGCCCCATCAACAAATATCTGATCCACATCTTCCTCTCTACACATCTTAACCAATTCTTTGACAGGAATAACAACGCTAGGCATTGAAGTAATATGATCAATCAAAGCTAGCCTGATTTTCCTACCATTCATCCTCCCCAATTCAAGGGCCTTTCTGAATTCTTGAATAATTTCTTCATCCGAATTCACGGGGAACGGAAGCTTCACCTCAATAATTTGGCCGCCGGCGCGGGCAACATAGGCCTGGAGGGATTTCTTGACGGCCCCATAAGCATAGTGGAGAATGATTGCCGCGTCGCCGGGCTGAAACTGGGAGGACAAAAAGGACCAGGTAACATGCTGCAGGACAATGGCTGCGGCCGTGGTGGCGTTATCGACGATGGAGATTTCCTCCACGTGGTCGGCGTTGATGAGGTCCCGGATGATTAAACGGGCTTTTAAGATGGAGGGCTTGAGGGTGTTGAAGTAGAAATCATCGGGTTGTTGAAGCCATTTGAGCTGCCAATCTTGCTGGGCGGAGATTACGGAGGATGGGCAGGAACCGAAGCTGCCGTTGTTGATGCGGGCTATTGCGGGGTCGTGGTGGGCGAATTCGAATTGAATGTCAGGTGGGGTGGTGGTGGAGCCGTTGGGAATGTGGTGGTCGTCGGAGGCCATGGCAGGAGGAGAGTTAAGATGGAGGAAGATGGAATGGGCGAGGTGTCATATTCTTGGAGAGGTTTTAGTGCTCAGAGAGGGTGGAGCTGCCCATCAGGTCAGAGCAAGCCTCTGTGTGTGTGTGTGTGAGAGAGAGAGAGAGAGAGAGAGGGAGTCTGTTTGTGAAAATGTTCACTCAAGGTGTTAATTAAATATTGCTTCATGACAGATGATGATGTTGCTTATCAGAAAATTTGTTTTGATGATTAGTGATGAGTCATCCACTAAGGAAGGAAGAAATCAAGCAATTGATCTTGGCCATTCCTTAAATTTCTTTCGGTGTCTTGATGCCATTGAGTGGTTCCTGGTGTGATTGGGGTATGGTTTTTTTATCAAACACTAAATCAGTTTTCAGTCCGTTTGAACTGCAGAAATGGTTCAATTTCACGGCCATTTTGTGGAAAGTAGATGTTTATACTGTACGAGGAATTACCTATAAGTCGCAATTTTGTCATTTATTTTATAATTAATTTTCTCCTATTATATTATCTTTTTTTTTTTTTTTTATCAACACAGGGCTGTCCGGGTCAAGACCCGAAGGCGGCCCGACTAATCCCCTGCGCCCAAGTACACCGCCACCCCAAGCGCACCGGGAGTTAAGTGGGATTCGACCACTTGACTTTGGAGTTTCGGAAGAAGCTCAAGACCAGATGGTCTAGCCCCGGGGGGCTCCTATTATATTATCAAGTGTGTATTAATCGACGGATTCTACTCACTTTTGAAAATTTGTATTTATTGCATGGAGTTGAAATAAAATATGGTAAAAGGGCACAAATTCTTCGCTACATCTGCTAATTTATGCAATTGCTGGCCATATATCCTTGTTGAACAGGAGGTGCGCAGAATTAATTCCTGTGACAACAAGTAAAGGCGTTGTGTAGCAGTCAATAAGGTGGAGACTACTTCAATTCTGTTTCCTTATCCAATGGAAAATATGCGGCAGAGGCAGACGTGGAGTCAAATTAGAACACTTCCTTTTTCTTCTTTTGATAGTTTCCAAAGAGAATGGAGATCAACAAAAATTAGGACTCTTTTCCTTTGCTTTTAGGGGAGCGGGGTAGCCGTATAGGAGTAGGGAATTAGGTAGGGAATAGAGAGGAGAAGAATAGCAGACCATCTTGATTACTCTTTCGCTTCTGACTTTTTCGTATTATTCATTGTTCTTTCAATTATTCATTCGGATTGATCATCTCAATCGAGCGATGATGTATGCAACAATTAATTCTACAGTTATGCGTGAAATTTTCTCCATAGAGATGAACTAAATATCTTTTTTTAGTCAAGAAACAACGGAGGCTTTAGTTCATCTAAAAATTGTGAGATCGAATTAATTTTATTTATTCCTCTTATTTACTGATATTTGTATATTCTCTGATTATAATGCTTATACTTGTTTTATTAATTGAGTATACTGAACCCAAACGTTGAATTAATTAGCAACCTAAATGTCAATTAGAGCGTTAAATTCGTAATTGTTTAATTACTCTAAAATAGTGGCAACTGACATGATTGGATTTGTATCAGGGGAATACGCAAGCGAATCTAAAATAACCCTGGTAGCGTATTATTTGGTTAGAATAAGACTCCTCTAATATGTAAGGTAATTGGAAAATTAAATCTTACGGGCATACTTTGGATTATTTCTCGATTAGAATAATGATTAACGGGTGTGCCTTAGTCACTGACATAGTAAGGAGGAGTTGACTGTCATTCGCTTGTTTGGCAGTTATAACTTATTTATTAGTTAATAATTGAAATTACTTTTGCATCGATGATCAATTAGGTGAACCATTGCCTAAATTATTTCTTGGTTAGAGTTTAGTCATTATTAATTTGATTTTAATAGTTTGTCATTTAATTCTTAGTCGGTTATCTATTTTTTATTCGAACCGTTTAATTATTACCACTGCTATAAAAAAACCCTCATTGTCAATTTAAATTTCAAAAGAGACAAATATCCCCAATCCCTATGGATTCGAGCTTACTTATCACTATCTACAAAAATTATATTTTATTTGAACAATATTTATTATTACACAGGTTCGACAACCTGCCAATTACTCTCTAAGACTAATTAGAACAATTGTAGTAGTAGTATTATGATTTCATCTTAAGTAGTAAAAAGAAGAAGAAAATTCACAAAGAAAGCTAATCGAGGTGATGTTTCTTGAATTTTGACCATTAATGCTTGATATGTGTTTTCTCGATATCTTGACAATAGGAGGATAGAGTGATAGCATTATCAGGAATTGATGTTTGTTTGGTATTCTCATGTTTGAGAACAAGCATAGTCTAGGTGTGGGGGAAATTGATAAGTCACAATTTTGTCATTTATTTTATAATTAATTCCCTCCTATTATATTATCAAGTGTGCATTAATCGGCAGATTCTACTCACTTTTGAAAATTTGTATTTATTGCAGGGAGTTGGAATAAAATATGGTAAAAGGGTACAAATTCCTCACTACATCTACTAATTGATGCAATTGCTAGCCATATATCCTCGGTGAACAGGAGGTGCGCATAATTAATTCCTGTGACAAAAAGTAAAAGCGTTGTGTAGCAGTCAACAAGGTGGAGACTACTTCAATTCTGTTTCCTTATCCAGTGGAAAATATGTGACAGACGTGGAGTCAAATTAGGACGCTTCCTTTTTCTTCTTTTGGTAGTTTCCAAAGAGAACGGAGATCAACAAAAACTAGGACTCTTTTTCTTTGCTTTTGGGGGAGGGGGTAGCCGTATAGGAGTAGGGAATTAGGTAGGGAATAGAGAGGAGAAGAATAGAAGACCATCTTGATTACTCTTTAGCTTTTGATTTTTTCGTATTATACATTGTTCTTTCAATTATTCATTCGGATTGATCATCTCAATCGAGATATGATGTATGTAACAATTAATTTTACAGTTGTGCGTGGGATTTTCTCCATACAGATGAATTAAATCTCTTTTTCTAGGTAAGGAACAATAAAGGTTTTAGTTTGTCTAAAAATTGTGAGATCGAATTAATTTTATTTATTCCTCTTATTTACTGGTATTTGCATATTCTCTGATTGTAGTGCTTATACTTGTTTTATTAATTGAGTATCCTGGACCAAACGTTGAATTAATTTAGCAACCTAAATGTCAATTAGAGCGTTAAATTCATAATTGTTTAATTGCTCTAAAATAGTGGCAACTGACATGATTGAATTTGTGTCAGAGGAATATGCAAGTTAATCTAAAATAACCCTGGTAGCGTGTTATTTGGTTAGAATAGGGCTCTTCTAATATGTAAGGTAATTGAAAAATTAAATCTTACGGGCGTACCTAAAATTATTTCTCGATTAGAGTAGTGATTAACGGGCTTGCCTTAATCACTAAGGAAGAGTTGACTATCATCGCTTGTTTGGCAGTTATAATTTATTTATTAGTTAATAATTGAAATTACTTTTGCATCGATGATCAATTAGATGAACTAATTATTTCTTGGTTAGAGTTTAGTCATTATTAATTTGATTTTAATAGTTTGTCATTTAATTCTTAGTCGATTATCTATTTTTTATTCTAACCGTTTAATTATTACCACTGCTATAAAAAACCCATATTGTCAATTTGAATTTCAAAAGAGACAAATATCCCCAATCCCTGTGGATTCGAGTCTACTTATCACTATCTACAGAAATTATATTTTGTTTGAGCATTATTTATTATTGCACAGGCTCGACAACCTGTCAATTACTCTCTGAGACTAATTATAACAATTGTAGTAGTAGTATTATGATTTCATCTTAAGCAGCAAAAAGAAGAAGAAAATTCACATAGAAAGCTAATCGAGGTGATGTTTCTTGGATTTTGACCATTGATACTTGATATATTTTTTCTCGGTATCTTGACAATAAGAGGATAGAGTGATAGCCATTATCAAGAATTGATGTTTGTTTGCTATTCTCATGCTTGAGAACAAACATGGTATACGTGTGGGGGGAATTGATAAGTCGCAATTTTGTCATTTATTTTATAATTAATTTCCTCCTACTATATTATCAAGTGTGCATTAATCAACGGATTCTACTTACTTTTGAAAATTTATATTTATTGCAGGGAGTTGGAATAAAATATGATAAAAGGGCGCAAATTTCTCGCTACATCTGCTAATTGATACAATTGCTGGCCATATATACTCGGTGAACAGGAGGTGCGCAGAATTAATTCCTGTGACAACAAGTAAAGGCGTTGTGTAGCAGTTAACAAGGTGGAGACTACTTCAATTCTATTTCCTTATCCAGTGGAAAAGATACGGCAGACGCGGAGTCAAATTAGAACACTTCCTTTTTCTTCTTTTGATAGTTTTCAAAGAGAACAGAAATCAACAAAAACTATGACTCCTTTCCTTTGCTTTTTGGGAGAGGGGGGTAGCCGTATAGGAGTAGGGAATTAGGTAGGGAATAGAGAGGAGAAGAATAGAAGACCATCTTGATTATTCTGTAGCTTTTGACTTTTTAGTATTATTCATTGCTCTTTCAATTATTCATTCGGATTGAGTTATGATGTATGCAACAATTAATTATACAGTTGTGCGTGGGATTTTCTCCATAGAGATGAACTAAATCTCTTTTTCTAATCAAGGAACAACGAAGGTTTTGGTTTATCTAAAAATTGTGAGATCGAATTAATTTTATTTATTGCTCTTATAGCATATTCTCTGATTGTAGTGCTTATGGCAGTTTTATTAATTGAGTATCTTGGACCCGAACGTTGAATTAATGTAGCAACCTAAATGTCAATTAAAGCGTTAAATCCGTAATTATTTAATTGCTCTAAAATAGTGGCAACTGATATGATTGAATTTGTGTTAGGGGAATACGCAGGCTAATCTAAAATAATCCTGATAGCGTGTTATTTGGTTAGAATAGAGATTTTCTAATACGTGTGGTAATTGAGAAATTAAAATCTTACGGGCATACTTAGAATTATTTCTCGATTAGAGCAGTGATTAACGGACGTACCTTAGACACCGACACAGTAAGGAGGTGTTGACTGTCATTACTTGTTTATCAGTTATAACTTATTTATTAGTTAATAATTGAAATTACCTTTGCATCGATGATCAATTAGATGAACCATTATCGAAATTATTTTTTGGCTAGAGTTTAGTCATTATTAATTTGATTTTAATAGTTAATCATTTAATTTTTAATCGGTTATCTATTTTTTATTCGAACCGTTTAATTATTGTTATTGCTATAAAAAAAACCCCATTGTCAATTTGAACTTCAAAAGAGACAAATATCCCAAACCCCTGTAAATTCGACGTTGCTTATCACTATCTACAAAAATTATATTTTATTTAAGTAGTATTTATTATTGCACAAACTCGATAACCTGTCAATTACTCTCTGAGACTAATTAGAACAATTGTAGTAGTAGTATTATGATTTCATCTCAAGCAGCAAAAAGAAGAAGAAAATTCACAAAGAAAGGACAGTAATAACCGAACAGGGCATTTACGAAATGAGAAGCCCACCAGCCGCTGCCGGCCACTCTTGTTGGAGATTGTGGTTTCATCGAACTTCATTCCAAAAACCGAATCAGAAAAAGAACCAGCCAAACAGGATAGCAATACTTGATACGACATATTAACAGAATCTTTTTTTTTTTGGTGCAAAGGCCAAACAGGAACTTCTTTTGTAATTCTAAAACATATATATTTGGATAGGGTATTATTTGAAATAATTACTATAACACTTTTTGTGATATGATGTATGTGAGATAAAAAGGTAATTAGAAAGATAAAAAACTGTATTGAAAATTGTAATAGTGATGTCAGCAAATATATTTGACCAAATAATCAACTATCCAAACAAACCCATTATATTGTCTTTAAACAACAGCATTTTTTTTCATCATAATTAAATATTTGAGAAGAATCAGATGAAGGGAAATTCAACAAGCCAACACCAGTATAGTGCATAGTGTTCGCTGCGATGGAAAAAGAATTATGTGCCCATCACTTGAATATGCTTGAGAACTAGTGGCAACTCCAGAGGGCAAATGAAACTACTTGGCTAGACAATAAATAAAACTGTCATTTCGTAAGTTGACAAACGACACAACCACCCTTCCATTTTTTTATTTTTATTTTTGGTTGGATAAAACGGCGAAATGTATTAAAAGCAACCACCCTTCCATGCTTACAACCAACCTTCCACCTTTTTTGATAAAACTTTTGATTGCTTACAATACAACCACCCTTCCCCATGCAGAATAGTTTATAAAACATGCAAATGCCCACTTTTAGGAGAGAAACTCACAGGAGACACTGTAGTTTTACAAATATCAAAACTTGAATGTGTTAATTACTACTTTTTCTTGTCAAAAGCAGCTATATTTTGTGGCTCACATTCAGGACTAAACAGCCGGACAAGCAAAGCTGTAGATGAGCTTGCAGTGATTGCTCCACAGGCAGCCCACCTAAGACTTCGAGGAATTGTAATTCTGGGACCTGAACCACCATCAAAGTCATTTGGATAATTACTACATGGAAATTGAAACGATACTAATTCCAGGCTGCAAAATGATGGGCACTAAAACAAACTCATAATATGCCAAACGAGTAATATATACTTGGAAGTAGGACTGTTTTGAAATTGATCATGTAAAATATAAGCAGAAGGACCATCTTCAACAAACCAGTATCAACAGGTAGAGATTGCAAAGACAACAAAATCTGGGATATCAAGCTCATTCTAAGAATGTAAATATGTACCAGAAACAAAAGAGACGGTTCTACAATAAAATTCTTTCTTCCACTTTAAAATTTTATTTTTCCCTGTGTATTTCTTCTTCCATTTTCTTTATCAGTTTCTTTCATTTTTGGTTGGACAGGAGGGGAAGTGGGACAGGGAGAGAGGATCGCAAGGGACAAGGTCTGCAAGTTGTATTGCAATTCCTTGGCATTGGTAAAGGGGAACTTGGAAGCACTTGCTTAGTTGTATTACTGGTTTGTTGAAGTGGGACAGGGAGAGAGGATCGCAAGGGACAAGGTCTGCAAGTTGTATTGCAATTCCTTGGCATTGGTAAAGGGGAACTTGGAAGTAGGACTGTTTTGAAATTGATCATGTAAAATATAAGCAGAAGGACCATCTTCAACAAACCAGTATCAACAGGTAGAGATTGCAAAGACAACAAAATCTGGGATATCAAGCTCATTCTAAGAATGTAAATATGTACCAGAAACAAAAGAGACGGTTCTACAATAAAATTCTTTCTTCCACTTTAAAATTTTATTTTTCCCTGTGTATTTCTTCTTCCATTTTCTTTATCAGTTTCTTTCATTTTTGGTTGGACAGGAGGGGCAGTGGGACAGGGAGAGAGGATCGCAAGGGACAAGGTCTGCAAGTTGTATTGCAATTCCTTGGCATTGGTAAAGGGGAACTTGGAAGCACTTGCTTACATGTTCAAGTTGTTTGAAGAAATGAAAAAATAAAATTAATTTCAAGAGTAGCATGAATCACCAAAAGCAAATTGCAGGTCTCCACAGAGCAAAGAATCAAGATATAAAATCCATTCTGGATTAGGTATTTTTTGGATTTTTTTTTAACAAAACTACAGTGTAGATGTGTTTTCCAGATTAATTAACTTCAGAGAATAGTAAGAAGATCTTCAACATAGAAAGACGAACAGGGCACATGGGGAGGAAACGTCACAATTAATCAGCGCATACCATAATGCAGGCGACAGAGAACCCAAAATCCTAATGCTCCACCAACAGAGAAAATCCCAGCCGTTTGTCTCATCAACCGGGAACAGGGTTTAGCATCTGATCTCATTAACTCCCCATCAGAAAACCCCAAAAAGCGCCTCAATGCCATAGGCTGGCTAGTTTTTGGCCCAAAATTCCAGTTTTCACCTCTAAACCAAAAGTACCAAAAGATTCAGTGCAATACAACTGCAATAACCTTAAGAAAAATGGGGAGAAAGGTCAAATAGTGTGAATGAGAGAGAAGCAAAATCAGCAAGAACAAAACTTTGACGACTCAAAAGAGAAATTTCCATGTATTCAAGAAATATGACTTCACTCTGTTAACACTAACTGCATTTTATTTATAGAACTCTCATTAGGACAAATATTTCATGGGAGCATGGGTTTGTTTAATTTGCAGTGAATTGCATTCCTACTCATATACAGAAGTAACCTCGCATCAGGAAAAACCAAGAAACCATCAAACAAATAAACGGATAAATTTTTTTGTAAAGTTTCAAACTTTGGATAAGCAATGCCATTACAAGCAAAAATTTGACTGGGACATTTTGTCGAACAAATGCATAGCAAAACCAATAAAAGAACTACTAACTACCGGCAGCTTCATATTTCCCTACCACCTCCAGAAACCCCCCCAGAACAATTAAGGGACACAAAAGGGTTCAGATTTTACCTGTTGAAGCTTCTAGCAGAAGGGTTTGTGGAGGGTTTTAAGCTAGCGTTGCTCGAACTTTGCTCAGTATTTTTGCGTAGTTGCACTTGGGCTAATTACTTAGAATATGGCTGAGGAAAAGAAAATTCGGACATCTACGGCTTTGACAGGGATATGTTGCATACTTATGGGTGCCGGGCTGATACAGCCCGGTACCCAAAAGCGAGTCCAATTTTTTTTTTTCACTCTGATACGCTGCCGGGCTGACAAGGCCCGGTAGCCGACAACCTCTGCACAAAGCAATCTTACTAAGCATTTAGCGCTAAAGCTGTAATAGCACAAACATGCTTAGGTGGAATAGGTCATTTCATTTTGTGAGCCATCATATCCATACTCAAGAAGAATAAAATACGTAATTGTCTGGCCTGTGAAGTCAAGCTTTGTAAATTAGCATGCACAATGAAAAAAATCAGTTGCAAGCTCATTAAATCCCTGTACACCAATTAGAGTTTAAACAAAGCCACAATGCCCAGCCCACCTCCAATCCTGTCCCTGTCCTCTGTATCAAAAGCAAAGAAACAAAAAGAGGAGCAGAAGTATCTGCAGTTTACCATACCACAATATGTCCAAAAACTGTGAAAAAAGGGGAGAGAGAGGGAAAAAAATTTTAAAAGGAAAAAAAAATTTTAAAAAGGGCTACTGGAAAGAAGTATGCTTACATTAGCAAGAATAATAGAAGAAAATTTAAAAAAATCACATAAAAATGAAGCTTTCACGACATTGTTACCTGAATGTAAATTAGAGTGTAATGCAGTGGGTAAAGTCGAGCTAATTTACCAATTGAATCCAAAAATACAAGAAGGTTGAGACAAGAACTCTTGATTCAATGGACTAAAGAGTTAGCAGTCTCTACATTATACCCCAATAGCAGAGTTCACAGTGGCAAGACAAATCTAGAAAAATAAATTATGCCATATTAGTCAAAAGTGCTCAGACAGGAGCACCTTCTGTTTAATCCCTTTCTTCTGCTTTCTCTGATGGTGGGTAAATACTCGAGTGAACAGGAACTAATATTAGAAATTTAGCAAATTTGACAGATACGATAAGAATAAATGTTGAAAAAAAGGAACCAATTTGCTTGACAAGAGAACAAAAGAAAATTTCCCAACAGTACTTCAAGCTAACACTCAAAAAATGTCCCATTACGCAGGTTCAAGAGGAGGAAGAAATGATGCCCCAAGAAAAAAAAAATCACATTAAGCAAAGGGGATTAAGTACGGTAAAGCTTACGCAAATGCAGAGCTTTATAGATACTAAAAACAGAAAATAACGCCAGAAAACAGAGCGGAAGCACAAAATTTCCACCATGTTTTTTTTTGTTTTGTCAATAAAAGAAAAAGAAGAAAAAAAGGCCTCTACAAAATTTTACCTCAAAAGATGGAGGAGGAGAGACAGAGCGGGTAGTGACCAGTGAAAGACGACAACTGTAAACGAGGTCCAAATGTATGTGGCTCCACCGTCAGTAACTACGGCGGCGACAACGAGAATCTCCGGCAGCAATCGCAGGGTTTTTGGAGAGCTGAAAATGCTTCCTCAAAACCCTAAGAAGCAGTAAGAAAAATGGTCAGCAAGAAAAATGGGTTTTGGTTTAGTAGCTTCTTTGGTGGGGCGCTGAAAAAGTGAAAAAGCTGTAGAGTCACTTCCTCCACTCCACCTTGGATCTCTCATGCAGTTCTATCATTATAATTTCCTTGTATTCCTAAAGCTTATTGTAGTGGGGATAATCCACGCATGACACGTGTTAGCCCGGCACATTGCACGCATCAGGTCGGCGCAGGGGATATCAAATCCTGCCCGGGCCAGCTCGGCATAAGGGGGCCAGCTCGGCCGTGTCAAGGGCCTCCTATGATGGGCTTGATGGGCCGCCGCCTCCGAACATGTAGGGGCCGCCGCATAAAATCCTAGGAAGACTCCGAACCCTAAGGGGACTTTGACTCCCATAAGGAAACTACAACTCATCCGGTCCTATATATACTACGCTACCAAGACTACACAAGGTACGCTGACACAAGTATTCTCTACTACTACTATACTCTCCGGCCAAACTGACTTGATCGTCGGAGCTATTCCAGGGACTTTCGTCCCGCCTCCGGTTTTCTCTTTTCAGGACCCCCAGCTCGACTCGCCCTTGCAGGTCGGCAGCACCTGAACAACCCGGCCGTCTTAACTCAGCTCGGATACGATTTTTGGCAGTCGCATCAATTGGCGCCGTCTGTGGGAACGAGTATTCTCTTTTTTCGCGAAAAACATGCCAAAGACTAGGTCGCAGAGGAATGCTGGCGGATCCAAGGGGACCGAGCGAGGTGGCCCTCAAAACCCCTCTCGGGGTCCCACACCCGGAGAAGGAGGGGCAGGGCCCTCACGAATCCCGCCTGAACAACTGGTTCAGACGGTGGCAGAAAACCTGCCCACCTTCGAGGCAATCATGGACTACCTCAAGGGGCAGTCGGAAGGTCATCAGGACAAGGAGACAAAGGTTCAGGGAGCAGATCAGTCCGAGTCCCGAACTGGAAGTCCTACCAAAACTGGGGCCAAGCGGGCACGCCGGGAGGTCACGCGCGAGCAAGTCGAGGTCATGGAGCCTTCTCACAAGAACTCCCGAACTGAACACCCGGAGCCCGTCCGGAGGCTCCCCAGGGGAGACCTCTCCCCCCGGAAAGAACGACAGCAGGTGCAGGACGAACTGGACCTACTTCTGGACCCGGAAGCGGACAGGTACATTGCTTCCCCCTTTGTGCTCGATATCGAGGAATACCAACTACCTGCGAAGTTCAAAATTCCAAACATGAAACCTTACGACGCGACCACGGATCCGGAGGACCACCTGTTCGTGTTCATGACGCAGATGCGTTTACAAACCGCCGCGGATGCAGTCAGGTGCAAAACCTTCCCAATGTTCCTAGAAGGAAGGGCCCGGCAGTGGTTCCAGGGACTCCCCCCTAGGTCGATCAGTTCTTTCCCTCAGCTCGCACGGCAGTTCTCAGCACAGTTCGTTTCTTCGCGAGCCTACTCTAAAAGCACCGCTCACCTCATGACTATCCAACAGAAGCCCGAGGAGTCCTTGCGCGAGTACATGGTGCGCTTCAATAATGAGTCCCTCCAAGTTCGAGATCGCGACGACAAGGTGGTCATGGCCGCCTTCATCAATGGGCTGCGCAAGCAAAAGCTGTACACCGAGCTTGTGGAGAGACCTCCCAAGTCAGTTCGGGAGATGCTGGACCGAGCCCATGAGAAGGCCAACGCGGAGGAGGCCAATCGCCTTAAGAGTGCACAGGAAAAATTGAGGGATGACAAGCGCAGGAGGGGCGCCGACCAGGTGAGGGCGCGGCCTGACCAGGGAAGGAAGATTGCTTATGACCGTCTCCCCAGGAACCGCCCAATGGGAGAGGACAAATCTTGGACTGGCCTCACGGCACCTAGAGCTCGAGTACTCGCAGTGATGGAGCAGGAGGGGCTATCCAGACCTCCTCGGCCCTTGGCCGGGGACAGAAGCAGACGGGATCAAGGTCTGTATTGCGCCTATCACCGGGATGTGGGGCATGATACGGAGGATTGCCGTCACCTCAAGAAAGATATTGAAAAGCTGATCAAACGAGGCCATCTGGGGCAATTCGTACGGGAGGAACGAGCTGACCAACAACGGGGAAGGCCCAGGTCGGAACGTCCGAGTTACTTCCAGGACCGACCTCAGTTGCCCCGTGGCCGAACTCCCGAGCAAGAAATACAGAACCTGGCAGGGGTGATTAATACTATTGCCGGGGGACCTGCTGGCGGAGATAGCCATGCAGCTCGGCGGCACAATCGCCCACCTCCCACGGGGGAGAGCTCGGCCAAGCGATTGAAGATGTATGAGGAAATAATCTATGGACCTGAGGACGCAGTCCCTTTGGCCTCTAATAATCATGAAGCCATTGTAATAGAAGTCATCACCTGTAACTTCAAGGTGAGGAAGGTGTATATAGACAACGGGAGTGCCATAGACGTGCTTTATTATAAGACCTTCAAGGAGCTGCAGCTGGAGGATAGACAGCTCGTACCGGTTCGAACTCCGTTGATCGGCTTTGCTGGTCCTCCTGTGAGGCCGGAAGGGATGATCACTCTCCAGGTCACGGTGGGGGTGGCCCCGAGGTGCCGGACGATCCCAGTAAACTTCGCGGTGGTTAAGGAGCCGTCATCCTACAACATGATCCTGGGACGTCCCACGTTGAATGCCCTCCGGGCTGTTTGCTCTACCTTGCACCTCAGCATGAAATTTCCTACTTCTGCGGGGGTGGCTGAGGTGCTGGGAGATCCAGAGGTGGCAAGGGCGTGTTATATTGCCACCCTCAAGGGTAAAGAAAAACTGGTAGCTCAGACCATTTGTCTGGAATCCTGGGAACCCCTGGAGAAGGGAGAAAGATTGGAGACAGACGAGGGATTGGCCGAGCTGCCCGTCCAGCCCGACCGACCTGAGCGCACGGTAAAGGTCGGCGCCGGCCTGGGTGAGCTGATCAGAAGTTCTTTGGAACCTCTCTTGGAGGAGTACGCTGAGATTTTTGCTTGGAGTGCTGATGACATGCCAGGAATCCCCACCGAGCTGGCAGTCCACAGGCTACATGTGGATCCCAACGTCCGGCCAGTAAAGCAGAAGAAGAGGAACTTCGCTTCTGAGCGAAAGGAGGTCGTCAAGAGCGAGGTGGGAAAGTTGCTGGAGGCTAAGATCGTTAAGGAAGTCTACTTTCCGACCTGGCTGGCCAATCCGGTGCTGGTCAAGAAAGAAGAGAAAGCTTGGCGGATGTGTGTGGATTTCACTGACTTGAATAAGGCTTGCCCAAAGGACTGTTACCCACTCCCACGGATTGATCAGCTCGTGGACTCGACAGCGGGCTATGAGATCTTCTGTTTTTTGGACGCCTTTAAGGGGTACCATCAGATAGCCCTAGACGAGCAGGATCAAGAGAAGACCTCGTTCATCACCGAGGACGGGACATATTGTTACGTTACCATGCCGTTTGGGCTAAAGAACGCAGGTGCGACCTATCAGAGGTTGGTGAACAAGCTGTTTAGAAATCAGATCGGTCGGAACCTGGAAGTCTACGTGGATGATATGCTGGTAAAAAGTCGAACCCAGGAGCAGTTCATCTCCGACCTGAGGGAAATTTTCGAGGTCCTTCGGAGCTCACGAATGCGGCTAAATCCCAAAAAATGTACTTTTGGGGTCAGGTCGGGAAAGTTCCTGGGCTACATGATTTCTAAGGAAGGGGTGAGAGCTAACCCAGATAAGATCAAGGCTATCATGGACATGGCTCCACCCCGGAATATTAAGGATGTGCAACGCCTAACGGGGAGGATGGCAGCCTTGAACAGGTTCCTGTCCAAGTCGGCAGTTCGGGGGTCGCCTTTCTTCAAAGCCCTGAAAGGAGGTCGGCAGTTCGAGTGGAATCTGGAATGCCAGAGGGCGTTCGATGAGCTGAAAATCCACCTCGCTCGGTTGCCAGCCCTAACATCCCCCGAGTTGGGAGAGACCCTGTTCATCTACTTGGCTGTGGGTGAGGGAGCTGTTAGCGCGGTGCTGGTGCGAGAGGAGAACAAGGTACAGAAGCCCGTATATTATGTTAGCCACGCCCTGCAGGGGGCCGAGGCCAGGTACTCGGCGGTGGAGCGATATGTTTTGGCATTAGTACACGCAGCTCGGAAACTCAGGACGAACTTTCAAGCTCACCCCGTAGTAGTCATGACGGACCAGCCCCTGAAGCAGATCCTTTCCAAACCCGAGTCCTCGGGTCGAATGGTGAAATGGGCTGTGGAGTTGTCCGAATACGACCTGGGATATCAGCCCAGGACGGCCATCAAAGCCCAAGCCCTGGCGGACTTCATAGCGGATGGTGTTTCCTTTGGATTGCCCGAAGCGGAGGTCGGTCAGGTCAGGAATGTACAGGCCGGGAACGATGGAAAAGATGCTAAAAAGGCACATAACGGACAAGCAGCAAAGCCCTTACAGACCCCAAAGACTACCAAGGCCACTCAGGCCCGAGAAGCAGTAGAGGTCTTACAGGCCGGAGACGCTGCTGAGATCATCCAGGCCATACAGGTAGCGGAGGATGGACCGTCCGAAGAAGCAGCTGAGGCCCAGCAGGCCGAAGAAGCTGCCAAGGACAGGCAGGCCGGAGAAGCGGCTGAGGTCGAACGGACCCAAGGAACTGCCCAGGTCGGAAAGACCAAGGGGGCAGCTAAGGTCGGGCGGGCCGAAGATGCCGTTGAGGCCACGCATCCAGAAAAAGCGGCAAAGGCAGACCTGTCTGGGAAGGCTGCCCGGGCTGGAAAGGACACAGAAGCTGCAGATCCCACCTGGACATTATACGTGGATGGCGCATCAAGTAAGGAAGGATGTGGTGCAGGGCTCTTCTTAATTAGCCCCACTGGGGAGGAGCTGCCCTACGCCCTGAGGTTCGATTTTAGAGCCTCTAACAACGAGTCAGAGTACGAGACTCTGATTGCGGGGATGGAGATGGCCCGAAGGTTGGGGGCCAGATCGATAAAAGTCTACAGTGATTCACAGCTGATAGTGAACCAAGTAGGGGGGAGCTATGAGGTCAAAGAAGGCTCACTAAGAAAGTACGTGGCTAAAACATGTGAACTGAAGGGTCAGTTCGAGCAGTTCACGCTCGAGCAGATTCCGCGGAGCCAGAACAAGCG